TATTATGGACACGCAAGTCAGAGGAACTCCTGATGCAGATGCAGAGGTGCGCGGTGCTTAGAGTCGCTTGGTTGCTACAAAACTGTGTTGGACTGTGCGCTCGACCTGGCCAGACCCTCGAAAGGCAAGCGTTTGGTGATTTCAAGAAAAATTCTAACTAGATCTCACCAAGCGGTCCCAACCCGGTCTTGATCAACCTATCTGGGTCAGCGCTTACAGAGCCAGCACTGGCCTTAACTGGCTGGGGATCCAGGCGTATCTGCTAGCACCTAACAAATCTCTCTCACCGGGGCACTGTCGCCCCTCGGTGTTTAGATAGACCAGGATCACGGACAGAACCAAAGACAACCAATGCGAGGCTGGTATATGGGGTGGAGGCCAAGTCAACTACAAATATTATGATGAACACAACAAACAGCGATAAAGTTACAGCTTCAGGGGCCTCGAAAACCTCAGGGCCGGAAGTGGGGGGTAGCTCGCCCCAAAGGTCGTCATTAGGAAGCCAGAACATAGTTGAGATTGTGCCCAGCAGTGCCCTCTCCACTGGTAGGACTACTGCTGAGACAGTCGTGTCTACGGGCACGCAAAGGAAACCAGGACCAATAGGAGACATGGAACAGGATACGGACACATCTACACTCAGAAACTCGGTTAATCACCTGCGGAACTGCATTGATACCTAGGACGGAGGCTACAAACTGCTGCGCAAACTGGCAACGGCCTCTTTAGGTAAGAGCATATACCTAAATACATATTTTTGTGAGTTCCTCTTGTTATTGCTTTTTTCTCATTTTAATAATACGTTTTGTCTCATTTGTAAAATTTCTTGAATTTGGACGATACAATTTTACTGTTGTCATTTTATTGTGGTGGTAAAAGTAGCAGGAACATGTGTCACACCCGGTCTGGAGTAGAATGCAATACCGTAACCTCATGTTGTTAACTTGAAACATCTTTAATCTTAATCTATTATATTATGGTGGACAAACAGAAGATAGTGTGGTCGTCGTCTCGTAAGTAGTAATACGTTGTTCGTGGAAGTTCGTAATATTGTTTACATTTCCCACTAGTTAACAAGCATAATTTTAAAATGCCAAAAGAAAAAGATGACATCCTGTCGTTTTGTTGCTGAATTTGGAACGGGAATATTTTCAACAGATAACAAAATTTTATTTTGCAAAGTATGTAATATGAAGTTTCAAGCGAAAAACGTTTTTCTATAACTCAGTTTATTGCAGCCGAAAATATCGTAAAGCTGTTAAACGCGCTGAAGAAAAAAAGGATAAAGCTCAACAGTTTTTGTTTCAAAATTCTTCAACAAAATTGTCATTCAAAACTGATTTATGTAAAGCTATGTTGAGTGTTAATATACCTTTTAATAATAATTTTTCAAACTGCATATTTTTTAATTTAATAGTGCATATTTTAAATTATATTTCACTTGTTTTTAGTGCATAAATGCATTCATATTTATGACTTTTTAGTGCATGAAATTCACAACCCTGCTTGTAAGTAATACCTATAAATTATAATATTTATAGTTAATTTACAAATTACAAGGATGGGCAACGAGTAAATAAGTTAAACGTTAAGTTGACTTTAACTTTGTATCCTGAAACCAAGTTTTGATATGATTAGTTTTAGTCTCAAGATTTGTTTTTTAGAAAACATACCAGTTTATTTGGTTACTCTTGTGTTGCTACATAATTCATAATATAATACAATGACTATTTATGTCTTATAACACAGTTTAATATTAAATTAAGATAAGGTATATAAAAGTGTGAATTTCCGACTCAAAAACTGTGACTAAATACAATAATAATATTCCAAGTACTAAATCAACAATAACATGTAATGAGCAACACATTTTACTAAGATTTATAATGTGTCTTTCAACGACATGAATGAGTACCATGCAAATTTAATAAAAGATCGGTCGCTGGCCAGTGATGACGACCTGTCGTTAAATAAATAATAATACAAAACATTAATATTTTTTAAGATGAAAACAGTACAATTTAAATAATTTAATGTTTCTTTTTCTTATTACATTAATTTTAAAAAAACTAGAAATATACAATGACAATAAAAATTTAATCTGACCTGATGGCACAGCTTTACAATAATAATGATTTGATTGATGGTGGTGTCCGATGATGAATCTGGTGCTGCAGTTGATATGATCTGGGAATAATATTATACACTTGATAATATTTCGTTTCGATTCCTTTTAATAATATAAATGATTATGATCATGACATCGCTGTCGCGGTTGTCGGTACACGAACGATACGAACACTGAAAACTACGTCTCATTTAACATTATAATATTAATAATAAATAATAATATGACCGAAAAGAAACAAAGATAAGGTGACTGAATGGCGCTGATTAATATGTATGGTATATATATCACGTATGACACCATAATAGCTACCAGCTGGCCCTGAACTCGTCGTTATCAAATCTAATAATAGTAGTATTGGCCTATTGCGATCAGCAAACTTATTAACCTAACTTACTGGTTCGCTGTTTTAATTTACTCAATTCGTTTGCCTTAAAGTTAACTTAAAATTAACTTATATTTTTTTTGATACCCCCAATTAAGTAAATTTTGAATTTTTGAATTATCTAAACAAATATTTTATTTATAACGAGGTTTTGGTTTATAATTGTTATAATTTCGCAGAATATAGAAATTATTATCAAATAATATAAGATACATTCACGAAGAATTTCGTATTTACATTTATAGATAAAAATTAATATATTATATCTATAAGGCATTAATAAATATTAATATAGGGGTAACATAAGTCACCCTCATAAAGACATCAATAGTCACAAATTGAATTCATACATTTGAATGATTCATAAATCATAATACCTTTTTTATTACTCATTAGTAGAGCTGTGAATTTAATGCACTCAAGAACCTTAAAAAATGCATTAAAAATGTAAAAAAAATGCAGTAAAATATGCACTTAAAATGCAAAAAAAAATGCAATATAAAATGACAAGAATTATAGTATAAAATTGTAAATTCATTTAAAATGGTTTTTAATTTGATTTTTATATTTATATTACGGCTTGCATCTCATGCCAATCCTTTAATAAAAGCTTTTTCAGCAAATTTTTTTCCGGGTAATCCTCCAATGCGCAACTGTTGTAGAGATATGCTCACTTAATATTATAATATAAAAAACAGATAAATAAATAAATTCATATATATATTTATAAATTAATGTATAACCTCAATATTTAAGTGTCATCATTGGGTGGCTGCTTTTATCGAGCCTTTTCGTGTATTATATTGTCTCAGCTAATACTCTTATTGCACCCATGAGGTACAGATTGTGTATATAATAATAAAAATAAAAATAATATTTATATTAGTATTAGGTACAGGATATTATACATTAGTACATTACATGCATAAAAAAGTGTTTATTTAATAATAAAAAAAAACAATAAAATATTGATGGAATTTGAATTTTCTTTACTTAATGCTATTCACCTGAAACATTTTTTATAAATGTTAGAAATAAATAGCTTACAAATAATTTATAAAGTTATCTAACAAATTGCCTTATTTTATCGACGTATAAACAGCCGGTGTACAAAAACAAATTTTTTTTTCAAACATTTTTTCCGTCAATTGACGGAATTTGATAAAAAAAATACTGGAAAATGAATTAAAAAAGGAAAATATGACCTATAAAAATGTACAAAAATGATCTAAGCAATTAAAAATTTCAAAAATGCAAAAAAATGCAAAATAAATATTGCATAAATGTTGCATTAATAATAAATTACATTCGTAGTTACATAATTCAAACTATGTACTTACGAAGCTATGTTTCACAATCACCAAAAAAATGAGCTTTCCTACAAATTCACAGCCCTACTCATTAGTTATTTTTATTGGTTCAATATTTCAATAATACGATAATCATAAATTGTTCGAATATAGATTACTACAGTAGAAATTATAGTGATTATAACTTATTTTTATATTATTAAATAATATTTACCTTATAAATGCATTCTATTTTTTGTTTAATTAACTTAACTTATTAATTAAAGTATTTGTTAACTAAATTTTTAACTTAATTGATGTATTAAAAATGTCAATTCCCTTAATTTTTAATTCGTCGTTATTTTTCTCGATATTTGTTTAATCATGTTATGTGTGATACTGTGATACAAATATACGATAACAGGGTCACAGGGTCACTTGTTTATAAAGCCGTTATCTTAGCGTACTGTAGACACTTCATTACTATATTACTTATGTGTTGGTACATCGTGTGTTAGTAAAATATTACTTATTGATAAAATCAGTCTATAGTCATTTTTGTCTCGACCGATCTACAAACATTATCATAAACTCCACAGGTTATGTGTCTAGACACATTATCTGGATACAATTGAACCGCAAAGCAACTTCTCTTTATTTGTGTAATTTTTTTTTATTCTTCGAATTTGTATAAACAGGAAAAGTTAAGATAGACGATTCAGTGAAAATAACAAGGCTAGTTCTAGAATAACAAAGACAAAAAAGGAAACTGACGAAGAAGCTAGAGCTATTTGGGCAAAATTCGACTAATGACTGAAATAGAGCTGACGGTAAGTGTCAACAATTAATTTTTACTTCAGTAGACAATGGTCCATTACACAATTTGAGAAACTGTGAGAATTCGTTTTAAATGTGGAAAAACTTCTCAGTATTTACGAACAAAAGTCAGAAGCAAGTTTACATTTGCTTCAACAAAAGTTTTTTAGTTTTTCAATGAAAACGGCGGATATGTCAACTCATATTTCCAAATTAGACAATTTGGGAATGAAACTGATATTAATAACTTTATATGATGTGTGTAATAATTTTTACAGTGAGCTTGGGACTCTATCGCAGCAGGTGATAAAACAGTGAATCATTTTTAACGAGTATATTATTAATTGAAGAATTAAGGGTTCAACAAAGAAGTATGTTAGCGATGGAACATCAAAAATCTATAACACTAACAAAAGATTCAAAGAAGAATTGGTAATCTGGGGATAAAAATAAAGCTAACAGAAAATCTGGCAATTATTATTTTTGTAACTTAGCAGGACATTGAAAAAATAAATGCAGAAAATACTTGAAAAATCAAGAAGTTTAGACAACAAACGGCAAAACAAGTAAAAATTAAGATGGCACTGCATTTATCACAGGACAATTAACACAAATTATATTAGGAAAAGTTGGTTACTTGACTCAGGAGCATTCGATCATATGTGTCTTAAAATAAACTAGTTTTATAACAACATATTTTTTGACAAACCAATTCAAGTAAGAATAGGTGTGGGTTTAAGTTTGTTAGCAGAAGGTAAGAGTAATACAAAAAAATTATTATTTGCGTACAGTAAATGGAATAATAATTATCAATTAGACGTTTATATTATGTACTTCATGTTGTACAGCGTTAGATAAAGTTCTAACACTATCATCGGATCAAAATAAATTTGCGTTTTCAAGAAACGGACTGAGAGAGGTAAAAGACAAGTGAGAGACAAGCAAAATTATTTAAATTAAAGTTCATAGTTATTACACTTAATATAGAAGAACCACAATCGAATATTGTTATCAAGGGCCATGGAAGAATTATTATGGCATGAAAGGCTGAGTCATCAAAATACAAAGTATGTTAATTATAATATATTAAAAACACATAATATAAAATTAAAAGATAACGGAAATCAATCTTTCATTGGTTCATGTGTAATCGGTAACCAACATAAAGAAACATTTAAGTCCAGGACATTCAAAGAACACGAAAATTGTAGGAGACGTACCTAATAGGTACACACGTAATGTGTCCCGACACACTAATTTTATTTATGCATACCAATGAAAAATGAATCTGTTGGAGGGTCAAAATACTTTTGATTATTTTGGACAATTATTCACTTTGTAAAATAGTATATTTTATAAAACACAGAAGCGAAGTGAAATATTCGATAGAAACATTAATAGGCACGTAAAATAAAAACTGATACTGGTTTTAAGGTCAAAGTATAATGAACTGATAATTGTTTAGACTGTTTAGAGTTTATAAACAAAAAATAACTAGTGTTGTATAGAAATATGTGATTTATATATAATTATATATTATATAATATTATAATCATTTATTGGCTATCAAACAACAGTTCCACACACACACCGGAGCAAAACCGGAAGATTGAACGTGATTACCGGGCGTCAGTAGAAGTAGAAAGGACTATGTTACATACAAAAAAAAATCTAAATAAGAAACTTTGGACTCACAATGTAATTTATACTGGCATACTGCCGTCTATAAAATCAACGGAACAAGTACGAGTTCAGTCAACAATAATGAATAAAACAAGGCATGAAATTAATTTTAGAAAGAAGCCAAAATTAAACATATAAGAGTTTTTGGTATAAATATTTTTTTTTCATTTATACCGAAACAAAAACGTCAATAACGATAACAAGAATTCTTTAGGTGAAAATGAATGTTAATCAATAAATTATTTAAGTGAAATAATTAATTAGGAATAAAACTGACTTAGATAAGGAAGATGAGTTGGTAAGCTCATATAATCTAAGAAACCGAGAATAAATACAAATACCAATTAGCATGGGCGTAGTTTGGCATAATTATATGTGGGGGCTACAATTAATAATACCATTCAAAAAACTCCTTTCGTTTAACTGGAATTAAAAAGAAAAAGAACATTTTCTAAAAAAAAAATCAATTTATATTTGCCTTCTTCTTAACCTGGCATTTTATTTTGCAATAAAAAAAAAAGATAAAACAATTAAAATTTAATTATTAAATCAAACATAAGCTAGGCCTAGGCGTCTGTGTTTTTCTGAAAATATGTTTTAAAAAATACATTTTCTGATTCTATTGCATGTGATAAATCTCTTTCGATATGAAGTATTGACCAGTTTGTAAATCTATCATTTGTCATGGTATTTCTAGTCCAATTATTTATTCGCCGCATAACAGAAAATGAAGGTTCACATGAGGCAGATGATATTGGTATAGTAAGTGCAGTTTGCAAAAGTTTATAAAAATTGGAAAAATATTGTTGTCTACAACAGGTATGATGTCATCTATTTCATAATTTTCTTTATTGATCAATGATCATATAAGAAAAATAAAAGAGACGTATGTGATTGCAGTACATGAGCAAACAACAAACCACGGTTTTCAGAAAAATACTGAAATAAATAAATATTATGTGTGTGTGTTCTAAACAATTATAATATAATTATATTATCGGGTTATCGTCATTGGACGACGCGACAATATGCACGACACGACGTATAACTAATACGGCGTTTCCGCGTTGGTCTATAAATAAATGTGCTTATGATAAAAATAAATAGGTATATGTATGTAAGTACAATAGTATTGTCAATAAACATTACACTGCTAATATTATACTATGAAGCCTTGACGAATTTTAGGGAAAATTATAACATTTAAAACTTTAATTTCGGATAAAATTTAAAAAATGAAAGTAAACACCACGGGGATTGAGGGGGCTACATAATATTCTGTGTGGGCCCCCTACAGCCCCCATGCATACTACGCCCATGCTTATTACGTTATGCATTAGTAAAATATTGCTTATTACTAAAAACAGAGTTGTAATTTTTGTCTAGGTCGATCTACAAACATAATCCTAAGCTTGAAAGTTATCTTAGCTAATAAATACTTTACTTTGTGTAATTGTATATAGAGCCTAATGGCGTAATGTGTTTAAGTCTAATTTATAATAATTATCTATAAATCTGTCAAGCGTTTAGCATCTTAAAAAGTTATTCCCTGGATCAGTTGATTAATACATAATAATATATTTATAAAATATATATATAAAGTATTCAAAGTGTGTGGATTTGAAACAAATAAATTATAAATACTTATTTGAACCTCAGCATCAACATATAAATTGTATTTAAAATTAATAACTTGATTAATATTAATTTAGTATATAAATTAGTTTATTTTATTAATTTTTTGTATACAGTACATATATTAGAATATTATTATGTATCATAATTCATAATGATCATACTGTAATTGTTAATTTAATGAATTAACTGATACATTTTTGGGAACAAATGCACTTTTCCAGTCTCCTCTCACGAATTAAAATTTTTTTATCGACTTGCTTTTGTGGTTAAAACGCTGGTGTAAAAACGTTTTTTGGAAACTATTATAGTATTATAGTATTATATAAAAATTATAGCAGTTTCAATTGTTTGGTTGTACGAGTAAGGTATCGCCACATATAATATTACTGTAAAGTGTAAGCTGTGTTAGCTTGAAATTTCGACATTGTGACCTATAGCATACAAGAGCAAAGTTAAAGTATAATAAGTCGTTGTCCCTTACGGCCTCTGGTCGCAACACTCAAGATCTTGAGGACCTCTCAGTTGTGGGCTCGGCCCCTACACCCATGAGTAAAAACTAGAACTAGATCCGATAGTTTATATTATCTAAGGCATCTCGTGGGATTTTTATTATATTTTAATTTGAAAGAGAGTACTGAGTATTTTAAGATGTACAACCGATTCACAATTTTAGCCCTTTTAAACCTATCTATTTATTAAATATTTGAATAAGTATGTTATAAAATTTGTATTATTATATGTGTCTATTGTTTATAATATCTTATTGATGTTAAACGTTACACTCCATTGTCTCCATTCATTATATCTTTAATCAGTTACTCAATAATGTAACGTAGTTAGTAATGTGTACGCAAGTAGTGTACGGGTACCTAATCTTTAATTAGATAGATACACGATATATGTATGTCGTATGTGACTATGTGAATACAAATTATAAACTAGTCTAGCCATCCAGGCTAGGAGACTGGGGTTATTGGGATACCCACTCCTCAGTGGTGGCTCGTGCTATGGGGCACACGGGCACGTGCTACATCTACAAAATTGAGACAGAAGAAAAATATATATTAAATTAAAATTGAGTAAGTGTTTCTTCCAACATAATCTATAGTTGGTATATTATTCAAAAATATTATCGAGACAAAAAATGTTATCAAATACTTGCCTACAATACGTACATATTATAATATCAAACGGGCATTGGGCGGCGAGCACAAATTCGTTGTGCCCCCCATGGCCCAATCAAGGGTACTAGATTTCTCCCACTTTTTGACACGAATTAATACGACATTGCCGGGCACAGTCGGATTGTGCCAAGATTCTATTTTTATTGCGATTAACGAGATTTTCTTGGCCTTATCGTCTCCGTATTGATATCATCGGCCGTCTTCCGTAGCACAGAAGTTATATTTTGATAACATGATCATACGTTTCTCCGAAATACTATGGCAGAAGAGCGATTAACTGCACTAGCAGTTATTATCCATACAAAAAAAAATGGAAAAATACCAAAGTTCAACGAAGAAGCCATAATAGTATTAAAGAAGAAAAAGACGGACGAATCGATTTGGAATTGAAAAGTATTACTGATTAACTGTATAATACTGTATTTATAATTATATTTATTATTTATTTTTAATCCATAATTTTCTTTCAAAATTATTATTTGTTATGCAAGACGTATATTAAAAGGTTTTTATAAACAAAAAAATATTTTATTTAATTTAAAATATTGATAGGAATTGGTGGTAAGTTCAAAGTTGTGATAGTGGAAAATGAGGGGAATATTTGTGCCCCACCTTCAATGAACCTCACGAGCCACCCCTACCACCCTCACCTTGCACGAAGCGGCCGCCTCATAAAATAGTCTGCCCCCGGTCTTTGAAGGTATACCTTGTACTCACATGTGTCTTGACTGCATTTACGAACCTAATAAGCTACCTAAAATTATTTTATATAAACGCTGTTATGCCGTCGCTCGCCTCAGATATACTTTATTAGATATGTCTCTCGCTCTAGGAATTTTCTATCAGTTGTGGAAACCTAGTTTTGTAAAACTAATCTTTAAGTCTAAAAATCGTAAATCGTAATTCAATGAGAAATTTTTTCCTTACCTCTAATTTAAACTAATTGAACCTTAACTATCCAATATTATATTCAATAATGTCATAATTATCGAACAGCATGGTTTCCAAACCCCCAAATCAACTAGTACTTATTTGCTAGTTTACGTTACAAGTTTATTCGATGTCATTGAAAAAAAAGGACAAGTTGATGCTGTACATATATACTGGCATAAATAAGTCATCTGTCAAGATCACAAATTATTAATAAATAAAATTAGTGTCCGTGGCTTTAGTGGCCCACTACTATCGTGGGGTAGTACTTTCTTAACGGGTAGAACACAACAAGTCAACATTTTGGGCCAAGTGTCATCTACAAGTCAGGTGTAACCTAGTGTGGACATTTATCCTCTTTGTTATTGAGATCCGCGGTCACTTAAGTTGCTATACCTATTCACAAGATCCATTCGCCCTAGTGAATTTTGGACCTAACTCCATATTTAAGGATGGGAAGTAATGTTAATACAGTTGTTTTCGACCTTTTTTGGTTCATGGTACACTATAATACATCACACATTTTCACTGCACACTCACGCACTTGATAACTCGACAACTTCGCCAAATGCATTAGTTATCGCCACTTGCCTATACATGTATCGTCTTCTCTGAAAAACTAGGAGGATAGAATACTACGACTGAAATATAATGAATCATCATTTATCACTAATTAGATTTTGGATGTATGTAAAGACAGAATATCCTGGATAAGTAGATGAAGCAATCAACATTTTGTTTCACTTTTCGACCACCTACCTATTTATGCGAGTTAGGTTTTTAAGCACTAACAAACATAAAAAAAACAAAAAACGGGAGAGGCTTCTTTCCAATAATAAAGAAATGCGTGTGTGCTTGTCTTCAATTTGACCACGTATTGAACTTTTGTGTAAGAAACGACAAGCTCAAGTTTCTCAATAATAATTTAAAATTTGTTAATTTAAACATTATCGATCTTCTATCATAATGTATATTTTTTCGAATTATTTGTAAGTCATAGGTATTTAATGTATCTGTGTCATTTTTTCTGAGTTCTCTATGAATAATTTTGGAAGGTCTCTCAACTGGATCATCTAATGCTATGCATTTTAGTTTATTGCTAATTTTCTGTCTATTTATTAAAGATTCACTCTGTTGTTCATGGTTATGACTCACAGATTTCTCAACTATAGTATTAAATTCATAAATATAAATTATAAACCAATATGCCATACCTTCAAGGTTATATATTTTAATTTAAAAGCGAGTTATCAGTGTTTAAAAATTGTAAATTGTTTGTACATCTTAAAATACTCATTAACTCGCTTTAAAATTTAGGAATAATAAAATATTGAAGAGATTTTCTAGATAATAATCTGACCTTTAAATTTTATAAGAGATAAATTCACTCTAATTTTTAAACAAACGGAGCTAAAAGTGATCTACTGAGCATAAAATTTGCCATGTTACCTACTTGTAAGACGGAGACAACAAATATCAGTGTAGCGTCCCCTTATTAAACAGGTTTGATATACATCACCCTCTAAGATATAACGATATGGCCGATGGGTGGGGGGTGGGCATCAAAATGTTAGGTTAGGGTATCGAATATTTTCAGCGCTACAGGTGGTTTTATTTGGAGTCACGTTTTGTACCTTGGTCAGTTTCATACAGAATAGTTTGCGCATAACCACTGATAAGCTGCTAGTTTCCACTGTTTCCAGTCCAATATGTCTTAGTCTATTGGATACGCCGATACAATTGTCCAAACAGGTGATCTAAATGGCATTTTTATCGTAATAAAGTAAAAAGGTGTGATGACAACGAACTGAAATAACGTCGGGTCTTGAACTTTTAATTGTATCCAGTTTTCCTCATGGTATCTATATTATATATTAATCATGATTTCTATATTGTACCACTATACCACCGATCGGAGTAAAAACCGCCGCCCGGAAATTTAGGATCTAGTCACATTCCACATCGCTGGTGGAATGCAATACGCATTAAAACAATTAATATAGATGGTGTGTTGATACTCGTCACTCGATACTTCTATCAGGAATTCTCGCACTATATAGTCTTAGATCACGCTTTTTTCTCGTTCAACAATATTTGAGGTTCGCTGAAAACGCATCAATTGCCGTTCGCTGATGCAATCAGTTATTATATCTTAGTCTGTGCTTTGGATATTATGCTTCACTTTTATGCTAACGTGTGATACCTACTTTAATATTTTTGTTTTTGACTGTCTTTTTTTTTTAGTTTTTTCTACTATATATTAGGTATGTTTAGCTACTGCATCATATGTACCTATATGTTTTTTTTTAAACGATAAAAATAATCTTTATTAATCAAATTGTGCCATCAACATAATGTAATTATGTTATTATTCTTATTCACTTGTTTTTCTTAAATAATTTTGTAACATGGTTGGCTGTACCTGTGATTGTAGATTTGTAGTATTTTGTTCTCAATATTCTCTAATTCTGATTTAAAATATTACCAATATTCATAGTTTTTGTTATTATTTTCAGGTAATAATATCGTTACGTAACTGTTTACTCTTACTTTAGTGGTTGTTTGGCTTTAAAGTGTAAATATTTAAAACGATAGCTGTCATGAACTTTGTTTATATATTGAGAGTTCCTCTCATTTTTATTTTGGATGAACTCTTTAAAAGTAGTTTCGGACTTCCAGATTTTGTCAATTTAATGTTTCCTGTAAATAATACACTAAACCAAAGTGAAATTGAAGTGTCCACACAATATTACAAAGCTTTCATGAAAATAATAGTATCATGTTTAGGTAAGTTCAATAAATTGTCAATAAAAAATAACAATACAGCTTTATCAGTCAATTCAATGTAATATTTAATTTTTCTAGTGTTTTGTTCATCATTATTTTTAATGATTATACATGCCAAGTACTTACTACCAGTGTACTTTTATGTACTTTCTGTGGGTGTTGTACTTGTTTCTTACTGGGAAAACATACAAACACTAGGATTTTTATCAGGAGAATACAACAACTTTAAAATAGACATGGCAAATGAACTCATAACATGGGATGCAGATGGATATATAATTATTTTAATTCAAATATATCCTCGGCTATACAAGTCATTCTATAGTTTAATACTACAGTATTTTCTATCACTAATATTTGACGTTTTACAATTTTTAACTACAGATCATTCAACTCATAAAGTAAATACCAAATATAATTAAATTTCATTTTAAAATAAAAATAACATATTTAATTTTTCAGGTTTTCAGGTATAGTTTTATTATTCCTACTTTCATTGCGTTAATTCCCAATACGAGTAGGATTTTAAGCACAGTAATCATACTATCAACATTGTTGCAACTGTTTATTTTGCTGAAAACATTATTCCTAAATATGTTTACCATAACAAATTTAATTTGGAATGAATATAACCAGATACGAGGGATCATCAAGTAAGGCTATTATGTATATTATTATAACTAAAGGTTGGGCTTAAATGCACTAAAAAAGTTTAATATATGCTTTTTTAAATGCTAAAATATGCTTTATAGTATACTTAACAAAAAATAATTATATGCTTATAAATATTAAAAATATCAATTTATGTGTTAGAATATAAAAATATCAAACAAAGTTTCAAAATATCAAATAAATATTAAACATTTCTGCACTAAAATATCAACTTAACCAGGTACCTATAAATGATTTAAACAAAAAAAAGGTATATCATAAGTGTTTCTTAAAGAAATAATTTATGTACAGTTTTAAGTTATCCAAAAGCTTAAGCAAATGAACATTTTTTTTAATATATATTTCATATTTGTATTTGACTTTTGATTTTTGTATTCAAATTTGAATAATCATAAATTTCCCAAATAAAATACATATTCTCTTATTTTATTGTTGATTTTAAATGCCTCCAAAATATCAAATATTATATCTATATTTCATAACATGAACTAAAATAATCTAAATATGCCTTGATAGGAAAGTAGGAAGCTATTCTAAATATGTAACTTAAAAATTTTACCTTTGCATTCTAAAGGTTACAAAACAAATATCTATAATACTCTAAAAATTTAATTATCAAAAGAAAAAAATATGCTAATGCTTAAACATTGCTTTTTAGTTATTATGCCAACCAATAAGTATAATAATCTGAATATTTTATTTAGACTAAATTTACCTTCTATTTCATATATTATTATGTATCTGGTTCCAGTAATTTTGGAATATTAAATACACTTGAATTATCATGGTATCATCTAAAAATCCCGGATGCTTTTCGATTATTTTGGGTGATACAAATACTGAACCAAGTTCTAAACCTGCCGACTAATACAGAAATAAATAATTTTACTTTCTTTGAAGTTGTGAAGTATTTGATAATTAAAGGATGCGACACATGTACAGCAGTTTTGGGAATGACAAGCTTTGTATCCTACATTTTTAATCATATTTTAAGAGCATTATTCCAATGGGTAAAATGTTTAAGGCACTGAAAATGTATTTAATTTTTTAGATGTTTATAACAGTTTATTTATTTAGGTGCTCCTGATTGATGAAGTGGATTATGGAAAACAATCAGCAATATTATTTTTTATACTAGCTATGCAATCTGGACTAACAGGCTTAGATACAGAAAACCGTTGGATAAAACTATTAGAAAATATTCATTTAGTTTCTCTTACATTGCAGAATTACATCTTTGATACTGTTTATCAATTATTAATAAATTTGAATGGTTCTCACAGCTACAGTCGTTCACTTAATAAGTAAGTAGTGCATTCACTATTATAAAGAATGTTTTAAAATTAATTTTGTTAAATTGTTTAGGCATTCAAGAGCTCTTACAGTTTGCGGATTTCTTATAGTGAATGGAGGAACTACGATATATTATTTGTGGTCGTTTTACCATTCAGTTAGTCCTGGGCTACTATCAGTTACTGTTATGAATATTTCACTTATTTTAAGAGTATTGGTGTCGTTATCTGTTTACTCATTATTATTAATTAATTCCAATCTCTCAACATTCTGGGAAGATATGGATGATTATGTGTTCTATATTAATTTCCTTGGCATTATAGTAATAATAATCTATAATTACTATAGAAATTCTTTAAAATTTATTTTATGATATTAATGTTAAAATTTTTGTTTTAGTTGCAATATGGTTTTGGGTTCTTTATTCTTCTAAATGATGTTTATGATTTGATTTTTGTATCTGGTGGTGTAATCTTTGCATTCACAATCTGTTTTCGAGTATGTATCAAAGTTGGTTATGAGAGGAAAAATTGGAGAATACTCATGAAACACTATACAGTTGGGAAAAAAATTAAATCATTACCAGATGCTACTAGTGTTCAATTATCTGAGTTAGATGATGTTTGTGCCATATGTTATCAAAAAATGATATCTGCAAAAATAACTAGATGCAAACATTTTTTCCATGGTAACTGTCTGCGTCAATGGATCTACATACAGGTATATAAATATTAAATATTAATTTTACTAAAACTGATCTGTAAATTGTAAAATAAGTTAACCTTAGATTCTAATTTTAATGTCCAAAAAAAAAAATGATATGACTACAAATAAAATTTTATTCATACAGACAATATTATTTACCTATTTATTTTTAATAATTACACTCAGAAAGTATCAACACATTTTGTTCAAGTAATTTTAGTATTTGAATTCTTCAAGTACTTCTAGGATCGCTAAATACAAAGTTCTAGTCCAGGGATGGCAAATCTATGGCATGCGAAAAGATTTTGTGGGCACTATTAAATATTATATAATATATAATATTATAGGTAATAGATAAGAAGCATAAGGCTTTGATTGGTCATTAACGATGAACTGATGAATGCAGTGCCGCATGTACTTTATTAAAAGTTACTAATTATAAACCAAATATTAACGAATTGGCATCAAATGTTCAACAACAAAAATCACATTAAAATAAATAATTAACAAAGTAATATTATACAATTATTATTTACCTAAACTAACCTTTTTATACTAATACATTGATCATACAATCAAATTATAGTATAACAAAATATAATATTTTTAATATTTTTTTTCATGGCACGCTCTAAAAAAAAAAGGTAATTTTGGTCACGCAGTGTTCAAATGGCTTGCCATCCCTGCTCTAGTCTATCAATAGAAATGTGATTCAATTACCTAGCAATTCTTTTGTTACTTGAATTGTACATAATTTTTTTAATTAATTGTTGTTTTATTTTGTGATTTAGGATCAGTGCCCTTTGTGTAAAAGTATTTAAAACAAGGCAGAAATGTAAAAATATGTCCAGACTCAGGATACAAGATCCACTGACAAGATCTTCAACATTTTAATGATGCTGATAATTCTTAGTTACTTACGATTGATTAGATTTTATCATAAACTTTTACTTAATTGATGCATTAACAACTTTACCATAACATCAAAAACCATTTAATTTAAAAAAAGTAATTTTTGATTTTTTGAGTGTTTATTGTTCTATTATATTGCTCAAAGTTTTGCATAATTATCAATAATAAACAATTTGATCAATAGTCAACATTTGTATGATTTAAAATAATGGACTAGGTGTTTTATAATTACTTATTTCACCAAATAGCATAAAAAAATTGTATTATGTCAAATGAATTTAAATAACACATTTTTCTATTTTAAGAGCCAATTATTGAATGTATTGGTTTTACACAAGAATTTAAAAAAAAAATAGCTGTCATATTAATTTGTACTTAAAATGTTGTCTTTGAATATTAGTTAAGATGTTAACATAACCTTAAACATTTTTTGTTATTTTGTTTTCATAAAAAATGTATTATTTTAAAAAACTTGAAAGACTCCACTATTGCTATTATTACTTAAATTATCATTTTCTGAACTTAATGAAATTTAAAATTATTTAAAAGTAGTAATTATTAATTTATAGTAATTAAGTAGTAAATTTTTCTAACTAGTTTAAGTTATTTGTTATCTTAAAATAAAAAATAATGATGCTAAGTTTAAATAAATTTTATAATGTAAGTGAATTTGAGTAACTAAGTTAAGTTACACATTTTCATGATAATAATATTAAGTTAAGTTAATAGTTATGTTGCTTTTTTTATGTATAACATTAATACAGTAACATATTCCTATAACAAAATTGTTTTTTTTTTTTTGTTATGGAAAGACTATATAATATACTAAAAATAATTTTAAGAAAAAAACCAAGTCATATAAAAGTTACAACTATTTACTTATCTACTATTCCATTTTTTTTTTTTAACTAGTTAAGTTAAAAGTTTTTTTGAAAAAGTAACTTGTAACTTATTATTAACTTGCAATTCACATAATGAATTGCAAATTCCTTGGTTTAAGGTTTTCAAATTGTTGCTTGTTACTGAATGATAATAATAATATTATCATTGCTTAATAAATGTAGCCATGAATAATATTTTATTGTTTTGCCCAGTATGTCTTTCCATGATAGAGATTAAAGTGGCTATCATGTTTTTTTACCATGTTGTGTGGTTTATTCAGCCATTCAGCATTCAGTTGATTAATATTTAATTAGGTTGCTGGTAGGTTAGGTTTTAAATAACTTCGGTCGATCTAAGTCATTGAAGATTTGAAGATTTGAAGATTTGAAGATTTGAACTTTGCAAAAATAAAATATGATGTGCCAAATCCATTCACGTCATCGGCAAGAGTTTAAACGACGCCTGGAACGCGTTCAACCGGCTCTGGATCGTGTCAAGTTAATGCTGCGTAGTGCTTGTTCATCGACTTTGTTAAATTCTCAGTTTTATGTGTCGGGAGAATGCGCGGCCTGGTTAGTCGGTCGCGTTGAAAGATTTAATGTTATTGACATTTTCGCCTTGGGATATAAACCATCAGAATTTAAATTTCCTTACAAGGCAACCTACACGGAATCTAACCTCTATACAATCAATAAAACCACGGTGATCAATTTCAGTACCGACGGTACCGATAACAAACCACCTGTACAGGTAATATTCTCGTGGTTCGATTTTTCGGTTGTATCAGTTTTCATCAATCTATTCGAAACTAGTTTAATTTTCACGTACGATTGCCTTTGCGACTACTGGATGTGTACGGTGACGAATAATGGCTGCCTTCAACATGGTGAAGTCAAGTATCCGATTTTGTTCAATCAGTCTACACTCGATAAAGACACCCTTAGGACTTTTCGAAGACTACAGACTAAATATAAGAAATTTCGAAAACGGGCTTATGACGTTTTGCCACGTAATTATAACGATTATGTTGGCAAAATGGCTATCGAACCCAGCCGTATTAACAAGTTCTCGATGCGCCTGTTTCCGACAATAGCTACCAATCAATATAAGTCTCGAGATTTGGCCATGTCTTTCTGTGATTATATTTACTGTTTATTCTGTAAGCGTCGCGAACAGTTGGCCATCAAGTATGTAGCGTTATGGAAACATAAGACATATGCACCGCCCAACGGTTATGGTTACAAGATTGCCCAAGCTCGTTTTCTAACATATCACCCTAAGTTTAGTGACAAGCACAAAGATGATGCCTACATTATCAATTACTGTAAATGTACAAATATACCGCCAGCACCATTATGAGTATTTTCAGAAATGCCGAATAAGCACAGACCATCAATGTTCCAGGGGTATGGAATTTAGATGTCTGTCTTCTTCCAATTTGTATTAACTGTTTTTTTTTTTTTTTCTTAGAGCATATAGAACGGATGGTGATTGAAGGCAGACCCTATTGTATTCCAATTTTAAGAAAGGCTGATAGCATGGCACTTGCAGAGCGTACATTTTACCATGAATATTTACCCACATTGGGCTTAAAACAGTTTTCACTAAAACTGAATTCCAATATTATTGAGTGATATCAAAAAACAACTAGAAGCAAGAACTGTATTTTTATGTTATTTTGATTTAAAAAACATGTACTTATTTAATCAATAGTTTAATGATAAACTTAAAATTAGATAAGATGCTTTTAAAAATTATGTATCAACATATTAACAGTAATTTATATTTTAATTTTTTAATGATATTATTGGTTTTTTTTTTTGCTTTTAAACTATTCAATTTACCTCTATAATTTATAAGTTCACTATTGTGCCTATAACTTATCCAATCACTGTTAATATATGTAGTTGTATCCACATAATATTATATTGGTTGTATCTTATAGCAACAACTTTTCATTTTTGTTTATTTGTAAAAATAGTTTAATTATTGTACCTTTTTTCAAATAAAATCTGAACATTACAAAGAATGTAAATTAAAAATTAACTGAACAACATTTTTTAATAACAAAAATTAATACTTATACGAGTAAAATGAATTATTAATATTACTTTCACCATCTGACACCCATGTATCTGAAATATATTTTTTATGAAGTCACATAAATATAAATTTCCACAACTTTGACCTCCTAGTTATAATACTCAGGGTATGCGTTTTAATGTCTCAATTTATGTATATTTTTATTTTACAATTTGTTTTTAATTTTCATTAAAAATTGTACATTTTAATACAAATGAGATGATTTTATTTTTATTTATTTTTAAGGTGTAGTTATTATTAGTTCATATTTTTCACAACTTAACTCACACATTTTATTTTTTTTTTCTTACGAGTACAATTTTTACAAACTCATATTTTATATATTTACCAATATTTGTTAGTACATTTGTAATCTTTCCATCCAATACTAGTATACTGTTATGTGAGGTATATGGCTTTTACTTTGACTAGTTTGGTATAGCTTAAATAATTTCATAAATTTTTTTTATAATATTTAGTTTCTTTCTGAAATTTTTATTTTCCAAAATAATAAATTTTCTTTGCTTTTCTTATTATTACGTATACAAATTTAACAAGCATCCATAAATGGTGAATTGGTAATCTTAATTTTAAAATTAAGTTAGTATGGTATTTCTTAAGTTTTAGATACCCATTTTTCATTTGATTACCAATCTAAGATATAAATTGTATTACATTGATTTAGAAATCTTCACAAATTAAGCTTGATGATTTTCATTCTAAAAAGATATCGATTAAAATCAATAACAGAGTTATCTAGATATATTATCAGTTAGGTGTAATATACCGAATATAGATAATATAAAATTAATTAATTGATAATATAAATATTATTTCAGTTTCTATAATACAGTTCTATTGCTCTGATCATTTAAACTAATTCTTATGCATATGAATACGACTACTAATAGATTTAAAATGAATATACCTTGTTAAATCGAAAAACATATCATTAGATATCATTGTCTTGATTATGAAATCGCTACACTCACGACTCACATGTGTTTTCTCCGTCTTACAAATGTAAAACATCAAAAACTGTTTTACGCGGGAAAAACCGATAAGGATACAATCGTAATGAAGACTGTGAAATATTGTTTTTATTTGTTCGATATCGTAGCTACAAAAAATAGTTATTCATGTTTGATAAACACAAAATTAATGGATTTTAAAACAATAAGAACATTTTTTTTATAAATGATTTCAAAAAAATAAAAATGGTATTAATGTTCTCAACTGTACATTTGTAAGACAAAACCTGTGGGTGTAACGTCCTTTTAAAATTATAACATAAAAAAACTAGTTATAATTTTGATAGAAAGTTGTACAAGCTACAAGCATGTTTAGTCTTTACATTTTACATTTGTTTTTTAATGTTTGATAGTTTCTTTTGCCAATACTGCCAGTTTTTCACTGAGTTTGACCCAAACAGATTTATTTTTTATTCTTATTAGTTGGTACTTTCTACCCCATGTGGCATAATACAGATTATAAAGCAAAACTAGTACACAGAAGACAGACAATCTTACACTAAGAATGTCTGAGAGGAAAATAATAGTTCAGCGGGTGCAACAGAAAAGGAACAAGGTACTTAGTAAATAATACTTAATTTCATACAATGTAAATAGCAATATGTTTTAATTACTAAGTCTTGTTTTCAAGTCACAGATTCATAATTAATATTATAAACACAATTATTTTAGTTATTATTATTTATTTATCCATTCCATATTTGAAATTATATCTAAAAAATATTTTAAATGGACCCCGACCCCTTCATAAAATAACATAGGCAATTTAACATTTGGTTTTGCGGCTACCTTATCAGGGGAAGTGATTAGTGATAAGTGCAATACCTACCTATCTTCAGCATCTACAATCTTCATTATACCTATTAATGACCTAAACTTAATAGTTTATTCAGTATTTTCGCAAATATAAATGATTACATTAACTATATTACCATAATTATATCATAATAACTTTAATTGCTCGCCATACAAGCTATTGAGACGAATAAAAATGTTTTCGCGAAGAACCGTTCAGATATGTAGTTCCAAATGAACTACAGTCATATGCATTTGTATAGAAACAACTATGGTATATCTAAGATGCTACTATAAATATTATTATATAACTTTGTTGAGCATTTTTCTCGTATTGTGTTTAAATGTCTATTTAGTGTTTTTTTTTTTGAAAGACGAATCGCCCATAGCAGTAAGTAAACCTTTGAAACTTTATCAATTTAAATTATTATCACTGGTCTATATACTATTTCTATGTTATATTATTTTAATTTCAAATTTGCATAATATGTTACAAGTTAGGTTAATCAACATCAACACATTATTTTCTATTAACTACTCTTAATATTTATCTCTTAATAATAGAATAAGTTTTACCATATAATTACAATATAATAAAATATAAAATTGATACCTACTTATCGAGCTATTTATTCATTTAAGTATTTTGTTCCATAATATATTACATAATATACAAACACTTAATTACTTACTTAACTACAATCTATTATTGATTCTTAATAATTTTAGTTTGTACAGTACGATTTTGGTTACACATTTTAAGTTCAAAGTGTTCTACCAGTTTAAATTTCACAAATCGACTATAATATATAATAATGTTCATTTCAACTATTCATTTACCTAATATGCAGGTACCTATATAATATTGAAAAAAATAATTGTTTTTTATTTTATCAAAATAGAATATTTTGAAGATATCTTGTATATTATAATATACGTAGATACTTGCTTAAAAGTACCCATACTAAATGTTTTTTGTTTTGTTATTAAATTATTTATGTTCTACTGAATTTTTTAATTTTAGACACCAGCTGTAATAAAATATAATGCAACGTACTTTGCTACTCAAAATATTTTGAATTCATTGAGTAAACTCGACAAAGAATATGATATTCCAGTTCCTACTAGTCAGTCAAGTGTTTTAAGAGAACTTAATATACTCTTAAGTAATTTGAAATTAAAGATCAATGGTGATATCGATTTATTTGCTGCTACTATCAAAGTAAGTACCTACCTATTAAATTTTCTTTCCAATATTACCAGTGTGTGGAAACAACTTATACTTATATCAACTAATATCTAGTAGATTGTGAATTATGAATGTTTACAAAATTCATATTTTAAAGAAAATCGAATAATTGCAATGAAATTCCTTTTTTTAAAATGTATTTATAATATTATTATTATGTTATTTTATCTTTATGCTGATACCCATAAAATTATTCAAATTATTAAACAATATTTAAGATTTTGTTTTTTGTATCTGAGTACAGTTTTAAACCCAGTTTTAAAAATATGTGGCATGGTATTTACTAAATTTGGTATATTTTATACATGTTAAGACTTATGTGATATAATTTAAACTGGATGTTCATCATATTTATCGATAATATTTTTAAGGATAACAGAGAGGAAACAATTTTTACTTGGATAACAATTTAAATTTCAAACGAGGTAACATAAAAAAACAAAAATAAAATGAATATTTTTAAATATATTTTATATCACATTAATTGTGTGTATTAACCTGGCTTTATTTCAATACATTTGGTATTCAAATACCCTAGTAGTGATTATATTAAATATTATATAGTTGACGGTGTTTTGTTTTATAATTCATTTTATTGTAACAGATGATTTAATTTGACATGACATTATTGCTTATTATTATGTAAGATTTTACTATTACAAAGGTACATAAAAACAGATTTTTTTAAAATTATTTATACCCTACTAAATATTTTACTCAAAGACTTATAAAATAATAATTTAAATAAATTACCAAATTAATGTATTTTTATTTATTTTAAGAATATAAACTGGAATGTATTCATGAAAATAAAAGTGAAAACAAAAAATTATATTTTGTATGCATTGAAAAAATTCAATTTTCAAGTAAAATTTCCAAATACTGAATATTACTATAAAATTATATATAGCTTACCTTAGTTTCAAAACATTTATATGATGGCTTCCAAACAGTGTAGGTCTACTGATATTTGTAATTTTGCTGGTAATCAAATTAACTCTATTTTTATTTTATTAACTCTAATTAACTATTTGTAAGAAATTAAGTATTTGTGGATTTCAGTTTCAACTATACACAAGTCTTTTATGTATCCTAAATATTGAAAACTGCATTCAGACATAAAACAATATTGCAACAAATTGTATTTCAGTTTTTACCACTCTGTAGAATCTATTATATAAAATAATATTGCATACTCTAAATTCTTATAAAGTTTTTAAGAAAGCAGCACTGGCTCTCAAAATTGACTTACCAATGGATTTTTTATTGTCAATTTTGATTTTATCTTAAATTTGACATTTTGTAAACTACTAAATTATTAATTACAATTTTGTTTTCATTAATTTATTAACTACATACTGTCAAACACACAAATATTTCTTTGGTAAATTGAGAATCACTATTCTTACCCTGGTACCATTTTGTAAAATTTCTTAGATGTGGTAATTCATTCAAAAATTGCGTTTTACAAAAGTAGGTATACTCGTAAGCTTTAATGTAGTAAAACTGAAATGTAAAAGCAAATTTCTTGTACACATCAGAATATGGGACTTTCATACCTTCAATTTTCTTTTTACAATGCCATCTAAACTTCTACAAGTCATCAACTAAACAACATAGGTATGAACTATAAACATGTTGTTTTTAAATTATTTAATGAACCTACATAGTAGTATTCATGGACTCATGGTATTGCAGTATATTATATTAAGTAAACATATTTTTTTTAAAAATTATTAATAATAATGTGCTTCAGAGTCTTATTGTTAAACATTTATGGTTGAATAGTATTATAATTAGTAAAAATACAACATCTTTTAAAAAGCCTTTGGATATGCTTGAAGAGAGAATTTTATCTAAGTAAATACAAACAATCAATGTTATTGCTGCTTAAAATGTACAGTTAAATGGAATTATAATAAGTAAATAAATAAAACCATATTTAAATACTAATTTATATGATACTATGATTAAATTAAAATTGTGAGTGTATAATTATAAAGATTTAATAACCATAATCCATGTGTTTTCTCCGTCTTACAAAAGTACAATATACCACTTTTGAGTTTAACAGAACTCATTTTGTGTTGCTTATTAAAACTAACAATACAAAATAGGTTTTGTTTACAGTAGATTGATTTGTTATACAATTTCATACAGTTAATTAAAAAATAAAAGCACAGATAATATTCTTAATTTCAAATTTGATTATAGGAAAATTTATTGCAATTTTAAATTTAACAAAAAAAGTTGAATTCTGCTGAATGCAAATTTATATAAGAGTATAAAAAATAAATATAATTACGCCAATACTATTATCAGGCATCAATGAATTAGAGGTTGATAATCTTATCAAATAAAAATTTTTTTATATTATATCTAAAATGTTGTATTTTGAGTATGGAAAAGTAAAATTTTAAAATGTATTATTTAAATCAATTTTACAGGTAATGAACCAAAATGGACTCATGCCTCTTTATGGCACACCATATCTCGGATCAACTATAAATTTGTTAAAAACATCAAAAATAATCAAGACATATAATGCTTTTAAAGGAACCCAGCTTAAGTTAATACTTATGTTTGAAAATGAACAAGAAGTCTTATTTAAACCAAAATGGTATGTTAATATTATTTCAGCCTAAAATGTATAGTTTAAATTCTAACGTATATTCATGCAATTCAAACAATTATTATTTTTAAAGAGTTTATATGCTAGTCTTTATTAATTGTATGATTATGTTTAAGGTATCTAGAGTCTGAAGTTATTGAAGGAAGTGTGTATGCTGGTAAAGATCGTTATAATGGCGAAATAATAGCATTTTATATTTCTCTTATTCTTGGATTTCCACGAGTTCCAATCGTGGTGAAACGAATCTTAGACTCCACAGAATTGCACGAAACAGCAAATATTGGATTAAAAAAAACAATGTATATCAATTGTAAGTTACTCTCTATTTGTATTTGTGAAGCAAATAACTATATTGTACACAAATATATAATTTAACTAGGTATAAAAATAAAATAAACCCATATACCCATATATCTATTTAGTTTTTTTTTTCATTACACATAAACTGAAATAACTTAATAAATGTAATATTATTTTAGATTCTGAGCAGAGCGATGAATGTATTGATTTTACAAGGATGTGTGCTTATATTTAATTATTTATTTTTGTATCTGTTATCACGGTTTCTTGTAGTCAAAGTGCTTCAATTTTCTTCAACAGCAACTTTTCTGGTAGGAAAGTGAATCTAGTTAGTGCAATCGGGAATTCCAAATAGTTTTCAAAAGCAACAGGAAAAACAAACAAAAAATTAATTAAAAAAGGGAATTTTTTTCTCAAAACCAGTTTTTGAAAAAAACGATTTTGGGTTTTAGTGTAACTCAAACAAAAATGACGATAGATACATGAAATGTTCACTTAATATTTGTGTAAGCATTGTCTATACACCTTAAAATTTACAAATATTTTGATTTGTATTGAACTATTTATAGGCATATGAAATTTTCGATTATTATTTGTTTTTTTTTAAACTAGTCGATAAAAAAATTTTTCGCTTGGTCAAAAAACTTGTAAAAGTAATACAATGTTCCTTGTAAGTTATTGTTAGTTAAAGTTTAAAAAAAAGTTGAGTGTAAATCCACAATATTATTTTTATGAGCGTTTAAACTTAATATTTTTACAAAACTCGTAAAAATTACGAAAAGTAGTAAATTATATTTAGTTAGAAATTCATAAAAAAATTTCTATTAATATCTAAGATACAGAAATTAAATACAATTTTCGTGTCAAGTTTGTCTACCTTTATCAAAAAAAAAAAAATTCTTCCGGAAAGTCAAATTAAATTTTTATGAACGTTTGAAGTTATTTTTTCAACATTTGATATTCACTCTATTTGTCTTGTAGCAATTTTCTATTTTGTTGTAATTCAAAAACGAATAACTGTAAACATTTGAAATTCACACCAAATGTTTATTTCATCAATTCATATACTTGAAACATTTTCAAAATATTTGACTCGTTTTAAGCTGTTGACGGAATTTTTTTATATAAATGTCAATAAAATTGTATTGGTTGGTTTAAAAAAGCATGAAAATTTAATACAAGGCTCTTGATAACTTGTTACAATAGCAGTTGAAAAATATTTAAAATACATAAACACAATTTTTTTATAAGCATTTAAAGTTTAAATTTTTACAATGTATATAGCTAAGGATTAAAAATTTATAACAAGGTTCCACTTAAGTAGTTTTTTCTGTAACTAAGAAATATATGAATACAGTGATTTTTTACAGACATTGTAAGTTCAAATTTGGACAAAATTGCATATTAATGTAAAGATAACGACTAATTTTGTTTTATCCTTTAAATTCGGTTTCAAAACAGCTAAATTTTACATAGGTATATTTAATATTTTTCCAGCATCACTGATTATTTAAGAATAATGTTAGCTCAACTTACCGGCTACCATATCAATAATAAGTAATAACTATATAAAATATCCTAAACTGATATATCGTCTTCGCTCAGAATTGTTTTTCGTGTACAATGATTTGATATGATTGAATTCAAATATAATACCATCCATTACAGCGACCCCTTGGACACCTAGACACCTAATGTACAGTAGAGCAACAGCCACTTACCCACTTTTTAGTTATAAATCTTATTTATATAAACTGTCATTGTAATTTATTGCTTTCATTTTGAACTTAATAAATAACTTTTTTTGGGGCGATAAGCAACAACCAAGGAGACATGTGTCTATGGCAAATGTTATTATTGTAAACGTGAAGATCCAGTATGTACAAAAAGTGAACGTCTAGAAGGAGCCGCAATATTTCATCTGCCATCAAATATTAAGCTTAAACAACATTTGCATCCTTGGAGGAGGACATATATTGAAAACAAAAGAGCCAGGTTTAAAATCTTTTTTTTAAAACTTAAATTGTCTTTTTCTGGACAGATATTCAAAAACCTATCAGACTATCAACATAATTTATTAATAGTGTATAATTATATAAATTAATAAAAGTAAAACTCAATCTCATTTTTTTTAATAATAATTGATTAAAAAAATATGACTTTCAATAATTATTGAATAAAATAGTTTTATTGTCACAAAGTGAATGGTTATTAAATGAGTGTTGACTGTAATCAGAAACTTAACAGAGACACAGAGTTTATTACTATTACAATTAATTAATTACATACCATAATTAATAAATGGTATTACTTATAAGTTATAACTTATTATTTATTTATCTATACCTACATATTTATTGAATACTTTTTAAGTAAAAAATTAAGCCAAGTATTGAATTTCTTTAATCATTTGTTTCAGATGGGAAGACGATAATAATTACTGTGATAGTATTAAATCTAACTATAATCCTGAAAGAGTCTTAGACTTTGTTGATGTATCTATTTTTGATTTTATTATTGGAAACGGAGATCGACATAGATATGAAGTTGTGGAACAATTTAATAATACTATTCTTCTCATAGATAATGGAAAAAGGTATTAAACTTTCATAATTATTAATTTTAGCTGTTTGAAACCAGGAATGTTATAAGTTAAAATAAAATATCTAAATCAGCTTTTTCTAACTGTTTACAATGACTGAATAAAAAACATTTTATCAACGTCTTTCACAAAGAAAAACGTAACTCAATTTTACAATTTTTTTTTTTATGTTTAGTTATCCTTTTTTACTTGAAAATTAAAAAAATTATCTTTAAGTTCACAAAGTCTGAGTTTATTTCATTTTTTAATGGTGTTGCATGCAATTTTTAAAACTTAATGATACTACTTATCAAAGGTATTTTTAAAGAAAGCAAAAATACTATATTATTGTTAAACTTCCTTGCCGGTTGCAAAATGCTAATATTTTTATATCATTGCCTTATTAAAATGTTTATAACTGAGTAATAAAACCCCTGAAAAGATCTAATATTGTTGTGTGATTTCATTCTTATTTTAACATAAAATAGAAAAGTTGGGTGAAATTTGAGGCGTTATCCATTACCACACTAATATGCATAATACGTATAGGATTAAACTCCACACAAATTTAGTTGTATGTTCTTCACCTGTCAAAAAAAGTCATAACTCGGAATTTGGACACTCAAATAAATTCTTTAAAATTGTTGGGCACTTTTATGCTTTAACTAACCTTTCAGTGGTACATAAAACTGCAAAACTCTTTCAATAGCAAGCATTAGTGTGAGTCATCTGGTTTTACTGTAGCCCAGTAATTTCTGATACTCAGTTCCAGCCACCTCACAAATTGTATTTTTGTTAATTCTATCACATTTGAGTGTCTCAAAGATTCTCCAGGGGACAACCGGACGTATGGTCACCCTATTATATACATCTACTATATATATTTTTTTTTTTTTTATTAATCGAAAAAGACCCAAATACACATATTATTATTGAGTAACATTTTCGATTATCTTTCTCCTTTAAGCAAAGCTTGTGTTGGAGAAAGAGAGTTATTATATAATATATGATTCAATTTTTTAAAAATTATAGAATTTACAAGATATATAGTAAAAGTTCTAAGTACATATAAAGCTAAATATACAAATAAAGTTTAGAAATATTATCAAGAAAAGGTACATGATAAGAATGAAATATAAAATAAACATATTATATTAGCTTAAGATACACAAATAAAACCTCAAAGATTAATATTTATAAAGCTGAGACATAAAAATAAAATTATAGCGACTCATTATTTAACTCAAGAAATAAATATTTATATACCAAGCCTTTAATATTAATCCTTTCATCCCCAAGTATTTTTTTTTTAAATTCAAAAGGCATAGAATTGAAAAACGTTGGTCCAAGATAATCTACAAAACACTGACCAAAAGATTTATTTGTATAATTAACAGTCAAATCAAATCTCCTCAATTCTCTTTTATTGCTTAACTCTTTATGATATTTATCTAAGTTAAATTTCTTAACCAAGTGCATAATAACAATTTTTTTATACAAAAACCTTATTGGCAATACACCAAGTTCTTTATAGTTTGCTTTCGTAGATCCTTCTAGAGTGAATTTATTTAGGCAAATTCTGACTATATTATTTTGATTTACTATTAGTGCATTTAATATGTTATCCCGAAGGCCACCCCATACCAATAGACCATATTGGAAATTTGATTGATATAGTGCAAAATATACTATTTTCATTGTTTGTTTAGGTACAATGTTTTTGAGTTTGATCAATTTAAATGTAATAAAACGTAGCTTTCCTAATAAATTGTTAATATGAAAATTCCATTTTAAGTTGTTATCAAATATAACACCCAAATAACGAATTTTACTAACTATTTTAATTACTTTACAGTTTTCCTGATTACATATTTTATTATTGACGCAGCCATGTACTGCTATAATATTGAAGTTACAATCTGTTTTATTAATTGAAAATGTCATAAACACAGTTTTATCAACATTCAGGGATAGATTTTTATTGTTTAAAATGTTTATTATCTGATTGAAACCTCTGCAGGCTTTCTCATATACCCCATCCCATGATTTGTGTGAGAATAGAAGACAAGTGTCATCTGCATAAGTAATTATCGACCTATTAAAATTAATATCACAAATTTCGTTAATATATATTATAAATAGAATGGGTCCAAGAACACTACCCTGAGGTACACCACTCTTAATTCCATATGTGTTACCATTTACTTCATTTATTTTCACCGACTGTTTTCTATTATGCAAATAGCTTCTAATCCAATTTAAGCTCGAATTATTAATTCCAAAGCTAGGTAGTATGTTTAATAAGATTTGATGATTCACTGTATCAAAAGCCTTGGCTATATCTAAAAATATTGCTAATGATTTATTGCTATTATCTAGATTACTGTATAGAAATTGAGTGACTTTATAAAGAGCATTTTCAGTACTTAACCCCGGTCTAAAGCCATACTGGTTTTTTGATATTAAGTTATTTTTTTCTAAGAACTCAATCAGTCTGGCTTTGATAATTTTTTCAAATATCTTAGAAAAATTGCTCAACATGGATATTGGCTTATAGTTGCTCATAATCGATTTATCACCATTTTTAAACAAAGGTTTAACATCAGCTACTTTTAAGGTATCAGGAAAAATACTTTGTTCAATACTTAAGTTATATATATAAACAAGAGGATTCACTACCAATTTACTAATACATTTTAACATTTTTACGGACACTTTATCCAATACGGACACATATATAGATGGTATTTTTAATTATTTTTATGTAAAACACAGATTTTTGATTTTTTAATTTGGAATGTGTATTTTGAAATTGAATTCTATATTTTTAGGTTCTGAGAGAAGCGATAAATGTATTGATTTTACAATGATATGTTTTTTTGTTTCTTTCATCACCTTTTGGGGCAGTATAATTGCATAGACTTTCTTCAACAGCATTTTTCCTGGTAGAAAAGTGAATCCAGTTGGTACTTTTGGTGGGTTAAAAGTTAAAAATTACCTATAGTTTTTAAAAAAAATTTTTTCAGGTTATTTTCAAATTTGGACAAATTACATTTTATTAAGGAACTAAGAATGATGATTCAAGTTATTTTGTTGTAATTTAAAAATATTATTTGTAGGTACTTAAAACTTTTAGAGTATATTATTGTATTTTATACACTCAATGACTTTTCAAATGAATTTTTTTTTGCAAAAATGAATTTAATCTAGTGTACTACTAATGTAGTAGTAAAATAAATTACTTTAATCACAATAATATCATGAAATATACTAAATTACTTAGTATTATTATAGCCTGACAAACTGTTTTCGCTCAGAATCGTTTGTGTATACAATGATTTTGAATCATTGAATTCAAATTTAACACCATCCATTACAGTTATCCACTTGAAACGTACTGTACAGCAGAGCGACATTACACTTACCCACTTTTTATATTTCAATTTATATACGTTTTTATAAACTTGTGTGATATACTATTGTTATGTGTGGTTTCAGGCTTTATATTTTTTATAAACCTGTGCGGTATCATACCATTTTTATGTGCGTTATTAGATCATGTTTGTGCGGTGATGAAAAGCTCTAGAAATTTTGATAAATAAGGTGTCCTTTTAATGTATAGATTTCTCAGATTCCCAAAGTTTAGTGTGGGGAACAGAATACAGTGAAACCTGTCTTATGCGAACCCTTGATAAAACGGAATCCTTTTCTGTGCGGAAATTTATTATGGTCCCGGCAGATTTCTATAATTTAACATAGGATTAAACCCTTGATAAAACGGAACCTGTCTAACTTAAAACGGAAAGCTATTTATTGGTCCCTCAAATCATATGCACCTCATATACACCGAAAAAAAACATCATAAAATGAACAAAAATATTTTTGATACCCACATATATTTTGCTTATAAACAATAATTAAGGTCAGCGATTAATAAGTGTCGACAGATAAGTACATTTTATCTTGAATCTACACACAAGGCGAGGATCTAGAACATATTTGGGGGGGGGGTCTTAAATAAAATTAAAAACGCTATCGGCGAAACAATGCATTTTATCGGTTGTCGAAAATAGATATAATAGACAATTCACCAGAGTCTAAGGGGGGGCATGGCCCCTTGCCCTCCCCCCCCTGGATCCGCGCCCGTATACACATCAGTACTTATTATTGTCACCGTAGTCGTGCCTGTTGTTTCGTATCGTTGTATTTGCTCTCATAATGTCTTCAGAGATTTGTTTAAGTTTAGGCCTATGATATTTTTTATTATTAGCCGGAAAATGTTACAACCTTAATCATGCGGAATATTATAACTCTATATTACGGAATTTTCCTTTTTATTCAGTTGTATGGAAACCTGCCTAAAACGGAAATTTTTATTTTTCCCATGCAATTCCGCACAAGACAGGTTTTACTGTACCAATAAGTGATTTTTATCATACTACGTCTAATATGTTATATGACATGCCTACTGGTACTGTTTCTTAGTATTGCTATTTAAGAGAACACTGCACCCGCATGTGTTGTCTCCATCTGCTTGGGAAAGAACCAAGAAGTCTACTGTCATAACAAAGACTGTGAATTTTTGTTTTTATTTGTTCAATATCGGAGCTACAAAAAAAGTTATTCAAGTTTGATAAACACAAAATCAATGAATTTTAAAACAATGAGAACTTTTTTTTATAAATGATTTCAAAAAAATAAAAATGATATTAATTTTACAGATAATGTTCATAACTATATTGTATATATATTTGGAGCCTTAACTATCACTATATATAGCTTGAGTTGTGACAGTAACACTTTTTTGTTTTTTTTTTTTAAATTGTAAGACAGATACAACACATGTGCCCTTAAAGATACATAAAGCTTTGCTTGTTTGTATTGATTTTTGTGTTTGGTATTAATAACAATAAAAAATGTTTGTAACAGTTTTGGGAATCCTTACAAAGATCACATTGACATATTGGCTCCACTTTATCAATGTTGCATGTAAGTATAATTATATAACATAACGTATTGGAGTAAGTTCCTAAATATATTGTGATGGTACCATTAAGTTATATAATATGAGATATTTACAATGTGTCTACAATATTTATTGCACATATATATATATTTACTACTCTTTGTGTTTATTTGATTTTATGGACTCAGAATCCGTTTGAAGACATGGGAAAGACTTAAGTCAATTAAAGGTGGAACATTCACAAGTATACTACAAAGTATGTTGGACGTACATGAAACCTTATCTCTTCTTACCCTACCACATTACCGTGCACTCGAGCGGCGACTAAAAATAATTTATGCTACTGTTGTTATGTGTCAAAAAAAATCAGATCTATCAATTCTAAAATGATTTCAATGACATCATTCAAATCCAATATTTTTTTTTCCATTTGTTATTGTCTTACTGTACGTTTGTGTACATAAATTGTAACTATTACACAATGTATGTTGAATCCTGGTCCCAGAGGTACACTATTATTTTGAAATTATATTATAGTATCTGATGTCCATGATTTTGAGAGAGAGATGTGTCACAGAATTATACACTTGCACGATCTTTTAAAATCTTATTAATATAATCATATACAATAGTTGTAAATGTAATGGTAATTAATGCGTTGCTTGGTGCTATTCACTTAAAGACAAAACAAAACTTAGTGGTTGGTACTTACCAAAGGTAGGCAAGTTAATGAAAAAAATATTTTGAGTTAGTAAGTTATGAATGTTACTCTTTTAGTTAATGAAATAGGTTTTATTCAATCTAAGATGAACAAATCATTACTGTAAAAGTTCTTATATGTATGTTGATAAATAATTCAATTTAATACCTAGGTATATAACTTAGTTATTCATTTTTAAATATTAGTAAAAAATCTTATTAATTTTTTATCATGAATCAATCAGCTTTTACTGTCATAATTTGTATACCTTAGGTTTTATTAGACAACTTTACTAAAAGTGCGAATAATATTATGTTTTTTTAGCTTTTACTGATTAGAATTAGTATGCAACTACAATGTACAGTAAATTTTCAACCTTTTAAAAATGTGTTGACTTCAAATACTACTGCTAAAGCTTCTTTATCCACTTTCCTGTAATTTTTTCTGCTAAGTGTCCCAGTCTCCTAGATTCAAATGCTATGTGGTATTCTTACTTACCATCTTTATAAATTTATTTTTGCTTACAGTTCAATTAATTTTGATAAAGGTGTCAAAGCCAGTAGGTATATGGTTCAAAAACTTGTGTCTTACGGCCTACAGGAATAATTCTCACTCCCTGTCTAATAGTCCGATTTTGTTAATATTCTTTTTGTTTAGATAAAGAGAACATTAAAGTCTGATTTTCAAAAAAAATATTATATTTATTTGATTAATGTACAATGTTAGTTATTTTTCTAGCACTATTTAAATAAAAATTTGGGCTTTGATCCAATCTTCAAAAAATTCAAAATGTTTTCTTGATATATATATATATAACAATAATATCGACAAACACTTGCCCAAGGGGTTGGGGGGATTCAAACTCTTCATTGCCTCAATTTTTTTTACCTTTCGCCATGTAAACTCACTAAAACTGATTTGTAAACATGTATAAATAATATTTATACGATTATACGAAATAACGAAAATATAGATACCAAAAGTAGGTCCCCGTGACACCGTCGGTAAAATTGTTGTTTTTAACAATAGACACAGCGCAATATTCCAAAAGTATCTAAAAATGAATGATTTCCCTACGTTCAATAAGTCGTACTTTCTTTAACACAGTTCGTTAGTTATCTAAAACCGTGGTTCATAAAATGTGCAACAAAATTATTGATAACATTGATTAATATTTACTATTTACTAATTTTCGTATTTACCCACTGGCAAACACACATTATTTATGAGGCTTGAATAGTTGAATGCATAGTTTTCAACCTATTCAAAACGTTGTTTACGCCATATATCAAGACTCAATATTTGTGTATTCTTATGAATCATGTTACATGACGTAATTTTTAATAGACGATTATGATTTATTTTTAATTTTAGGGTGGGCCACATAGGCCCTGACTTTTTAAGGTTGGCTTGAGCCTACCCAGGCCCACCCCTGTCGCCTCCCCTGCATATGCTGTAAATCAAAAAACTTGAAGTTAGAAGGATAAAAAATATTTTTAAAAAAAGTTGTTTAGTGTAACGACTTGAAATAATTTAAAACAAATATTTTTTTAAACATTGATACTTCTTGTATAATGAGTGTTCAAAAGTAAATAAACCACCTGGTATTATATGAATTGTACGATATATTCTTTAATAAATGTTTTTTTCTTTTTCTTCATCATTATCAAGTCCTAGTTTTTCTGCAAATACTTCTGGAAACGTATTAAGTATTTGTTATTCCGTATAAATTTGTTTTATATTTTGATATACATATAATATGTTTTATGTTTCAGTAGTTTTTAGTTAACATACTAGTCAAGTGTTCAGTATATTTTACTTATCCATGCTTTATTTGTTTTCACATTAACTGTTATGATTCATGGTTATGATTTTGTTACTGTTTTTGTTTGATATTGAAGTTCTATTCTGTCTCTTTATTTATTTATTTTTTTATTATTGTATAAAAGCAATGCTGACCAAAAATTTTTTATTTTAAATTTATTTATTTCTGTTTGAAAGTACCAAATATAATGTGATGAATCTATTGTTCATGATCTTTTTTATATTTATTAACTATTGTATCTATATTCTATAATATAATGCCTATGTGTATAATTGTAGTGAATTACAACTATATATACCTATTGTTATTTATTGTATTAATTATTGTAATATTATTAATTATTGATAAATTGTTTTTTTATCATTTAAATAAGTTAAAATAAAAAAAAATTGCATTTATAACACTTATAGTTATTACTTACTTATAATACTTTTTTATGCTGGCTAGATATGTTGTGACCAAGTATCGGGTATATTTGGCTTGCGCTGACTGTTGGAACATATTCAAATCAAAATACTTAGAATTATAATAAAGGATTTTCGAAAATTTGTATTTTAAAGGTGTCATGCATAAGGATTTTGAGATTCAAGATGGGAATTGAAAATTTGCTTATATTTATAATAAATGGTTGCCGTTGATTACTCGGTCAGATGTATTAAAATAATTCATCACATTGTCTCGCCTAAAGAAATTGTATTTTAAAACCAATTGTATATCTGTAAAGTAAAATATATACCTAATCAAAAACTAGGTGAAACTCTACAGTTGTTGACCAAAATCTCAGAAATTATTCTTAGAGCTATCCACAAGGAAAAAAAGGCTTTAGCCCCCTAAATAAATTCTTCACACTACACTTATGCCGGTAGTATACTATGATTGTATAATAGTCTCTGTTCCATGCATAGAATCCACGGGACATATGCCGAGTTGCATACTTGCATGAACAGCCACTAGATATTAATTGAATTAATAGTGATCCAACGGCCCCTCAAGCATGATTTAATAGCCCATGAATTTTTTTGGATCCATTAAATTATCTAATTAATTTTTCTCACAACCCAGCAATAATCTCCAAATCAGTCACTTAATTGATATACTTCACTACACAGAGCAATAGTGAATAGAGACATGTGCTTTTTAGTGGAAAGTGATAGGGTCAATCTAATTAATTATTAATATTTAGTTTTTAGATTTGTGTAAAGCGCTATCGACTTTGAAACAAATCTCCTTTTTTTAAAATGTGACAAGCTTTAAATGCGTAGGTACCCAGTACTTATCTAATTCCTGTACATCAGCGGTTCTCAAACTTTTTTTCCGCGTACCACTTATGTCTATTTCCATGTGACCATGTTCAAACACTATTTAAAATATTTATTTATTTAATCTCCGTTCTATCACTTTGTGGCCTTTCGCATACCGGCATGTAGACTTCCGCGTACCACTAGTGGTACTCATACCATAGTTTGAGTACTTCTGCTATAGGTAAATATAGGTGCTTTGCCGCTTTGGTAATAATAAAGTACTTAATAATAAGTATAAAGAAACGCACCACTCTTGAATTTCAAATGATTACTGCCTAATTTCATGGCTAAATTTAGTTATTTAGCCATGCCTAATTTCATAACATATAGTTCTTTGAATAATATGTCATATCATTAAAAAATAGTCTTATCTTAACTACGTCTCATCCTTGACTAAAACAAATTACTTCAATTGGGCTGCTGTTAATACTAAAATACTCAATATTAGGTCAAACACTTGACTGAAATAAAAAAACATTTGACATAGATAGGTACCTAAATATTAAAATGGTATAGTTCTATCACAGCATCATTCAATCTATGAATAAAAAAAAAATAAAACTATAAATGTATATTTCTAATGAAGTAGTACAATTTCAAATTTCCAACAACATAATATGTATAATGTATCCAACAGGATATTTTCAACAAGAATATGATTCCGAACAATTTCAGCATCTAGGCGACCCGAAAAAAGGTTCAAAATAACACTTTTGTAGTTTTATCTTGTATTTTGGATAATCTGTCCTGTATGTACCATATTAAAAAATTATTTCAAAAATGTAATGCAGGTTATCTTATTGTTCAGCATTTTAAAATTTAAACAATGAAAATAAAATCTAAATCACAAACCCTTATTATTTGATTTAAGGTGATTCGATACCGCCATTTGCTGTTTTTGTCTAACACACGCGTGGCATAGCAATTTAGACGTGTTTTTTGCCAAATATACCAATTGATCTAATGAAGCGATAATAAATCTGAAAACAGATTTGAATTTGTCGTTAAGTCTACTTAAAATTGATTTTCCCACATTTTTGATATTATTCCCCAAATTCCTAAAAATGTCATATTAAAAAAGAGCATTTAAAAATGTTTGTATTTCAATTTTCGGAGAAGTTAAAATCAAAAAATCATAAATGTGGGAAAGTCGATTTCAAGTAGACTTGACTATAAATTCAAATCTGTTTTTTGAATTCTTATCGCTTCATAAGATCAATTGGTATATTTGGCAAAAAACACGTCTAAATTACTATGTCACGCGTGTGTTAGACAAAAACAGAAAATGACGGTATCGAATCCCCTTAATTATATTTGTTTCAAGTGGGTAGATTTTGAATATTTTATTTATTTATACGAGGAAAAAAATTGGTGCAGTGAGGAAAAATTTAATTTTAGTTACCAAATGTTTGGTAAGAATTTATATAAGAAATAACACATAACACATAAGTATTTAATTTTATATATTTTATTAATAATTGTTAACATAGGTCTTAATATCCAATATTTCAATATTTTTTCTGATACAAAAGCACCCGATGACTTTTTAAAAAATAAAAATTAACTTTTATATTATAACTTGTGAATTTTAAGGGACTACACCCTCACTTTGGCCCCTTATTTAACACCCATGTAAGTTACAAGTATAGGGGTCGGTGATATCGAACTTTAAATAATTAAATGTCTTTGCAAAATGGCAACAAAAGAAATTAATAAAAAAGAAATCCTCACAGGTAGTGTACCGTAACTAAGAGAAAAGAAAAACAACAGACAATGGTATTATGATTGAGAACGTGAGCGGCCAGTAGTGTTCATCTTTTCATGTACGGTAAAAGCCAGCAAATGTCTGTCCTATACTGGTTGGGGCGTTGGTGGACAGATAGATTGTTGGTTGACAAGAAATATGAGACATGACAGGCAGCAAAATTTGAATTAAAATGTTGTTTACTCACCATCGTGTCAGGATATAGAAGTCAAATTACATACAATATACAGTCATTATAGACTCAATTTCATCCTACAATGTCTAAAATGTGAGACTAAAAATTACATTCATCTTAATGATAACAAAATAAACTCGACAAAACTAAATAAAATATATTTGTAAAAAATAATACTGTATAAATTGACTAATTATATAAAAATATAATTATATGAAAATTATAACAAAAATAAAAATTGTTCATAAGTAAATAAATTAAATACAATAATAATATTACAGTCTTGTATGAGTAGTGATGTTCTAGAATTCCCAAGAGTCAAGCCAGCGTAATCCAAACATTGTACTATTTTGTTCTGTTGAAACTGGTCCTGACATACCATAAGCAAGAGGAGAGTATAGATAAAAACTGGAAAATACATAAAACAAACTTAAAATGGGTAAATTAAAATGTTTTGAATAACATTTACCTAAAAATGACAGATGCATATATGAATCCGATGAGTCCATCATAAATTGTTTTCCGAATAAGGGTTGGCTTAGATGTCTTTATTATTTCCAATAAATAACTGATAGTTACACCTAAGTTGTACCATTTATTAATTTTTATGGTCTATTTATTATTTTATCCTATACTAACCTGTTAACATTGAACTATATAAAAATGCTGAAAAATAGTGATGGAAGTACAAGACCCTTCCCATGGCGTAAAACGGTATATAGTGTAGTCCCCATCCAATAAATAGCCAGTTACAAGAGGTGAGTAACTGTTGTTTAGAATCTGAAACTGTAATTTGAAAAATACTTAATTTATAAAGAAGTGGAAAATTTAGTTTCAGGCTCACCAGCTTCATTTTGGTTACTCCTTCGTTTATTGATTATGGCTTTCCAAATTGAAATTAAATTGTACAGTACCATAACCACTATATTTCCCCACCATATAACTGGGTTTCCAAGCAAATAAATTTTATAGTTATTACCAGAAAAGAATTGTCCCTGCAATATTATAAATGAATATTATATATAAATAAAGAATTGAATGTATAAAAAAAATAATACCTTATAGTTTATTGGCCATTGCCATGGCTTAGAAGTTACTTCTCCTTCCTTTGGTTTTAGACCAGCATTCCCTTGGAACATAACAGCATGTGATTCAATAAATCTGGCAAAGAAATTTGGGGAATATACTTCAAAACTGACATTTGGAACTAAAATAAATAGAAAAATAATATAATAAGTGGTCCTTTCTTTTTTCTATAGTTAAAAGTATATACATCAGTGGTTCTCAACCTGTGTGCCGTTAGAAATGTTATACCTATGTAGGCATGTGGCGAAAACTATTTACCGAAGTTGTTGTGGTTG